CCCCCCCAACAGCTATAAACAACCATATTAGTGGGGTATTTGTGTATTTTGCATTTTTGCTTATGGGGGTTAAAAAATGACATAAATGCCCCCCAACAGCTGTATAACAACTAGTTTAGGGGGCTTTTTGGATAAAGTTATAAATAACTTTACAATGGCCAAAATACCCCTCACAACAACTAAATAAAGCTAGTTTTTTTTGGTATTTTGGGCAATTAAATTATGTTCAATTCCTATAAATAGCCCTATCTTCCACCATTCTCATCACACCAATTCAACAATCAACATTCAACAATTCTTCTATTAAGTTATTTTCTTAATCTCTTCAATCTTTCCTCTTTCAGTCTCTCATACATTCTCTGCAATCTGAGTGAACTCTGATAGTCTCGTAGTCTGATTGGCTGATTAGCTGATTTTCCAAGTTAGCAATTTGGGAGGCTTGGAGCTTTGGACATTGTCACGTTGAAAGGCTTTAACCGTTGAAATCAAGTTGGGATTCTGAACCGGCAATCTGGGATTTGGGGGTATGTTCAATTAAATTAATTTTATTTTTTTAGAATTTGAAAAAAAAAGGCCAGCTCTTCCCAAAACCCCAAGTTTAGTAGCCCGATTTGGAGAATATTTAAAATAGAGGATGTTGAGGGGAAGGGGGAAAGAGCAGTTTGCCAAAAATATAGAAAAGAATTTAACTATTATAGCAAGGGTGGTACTGGCCATTTGACCAGACATTTTCTCACACATGAGAAGGAAGAAGAAATAACCCACAATTTAAATGAATTTTTGAAATAACCCACAAGGAAGAAGAAATGACTATTATAGCAAGGGTGGTACTAGCCATTTGACCAGACATTTTCTCGCCGCCAATCCCGCCATGGCACGTGATCCGTGATCTACTAACCTCTCTGGTGTCTACAGACTACATTTTCCATCTGAGTCTTGTTTAGTTGTTTTAGTGCAGGACCTACAGGTACCACACTACAACACTACCACTGTACCAGGGTTGGCTAGATGCAGTCATGAATCATGATGCAGAATATAAATTACAACTTTACAATTACAAGACAAAGGAGGGCATGATACTACAAACTATTATAGTCTACATACACCGGATATTTCATTTTTCATCTGAAGCAGATGATGAAAGTGTGTGTGAATGCTTTCATCATAATGTATATGTAAATTTTGTTTAAATTGTAAATTTTAACAAATAACCCACAATTTTTTATTTTGTCAAATTATTGTAAATTTTGTTTTAATTTTATTTAATTTATTGCTATTAATGTAATTTTGTATTTTCAATTTGTAACTATATAGTCTATATAGTCTATAATTCTATATTGTATTTTTTATATTTTATTAATTTATTCCATTTTCATATTTCATTCATCCAAGTATGAAGTTTATGAAGTATCCAACCATTGTATATTTCATAATTTCAATATTTGTATAGTTGTATGCTTTGTAATTTGTATCATCTTTCATTAAAATTTAAATGAAATAAAATTCTTAAATTCTTATTTGAATTGTTTTATACTTTTATTTATTTATTCTTTGGGTAATGGTAAGTTCATTATTAATTTATTATTCGTATCCTGTCCTGAATCCTGATCTTGATATGACCATAATCCATTCAGTGAGTCTAGCCTGGTTCGGCCCAGGCCCACAACACAGCATGGCACGGGCCCACCTGGGCCTGAGCTGTGGGCCGTGCCGGGCTAACCCCCAAAATTTCCACCAGGGAGGGTAGCACGGCCCGTCTTTAGCGCGGGCCGCCCACAGGCTGTGCCGTGCCAGCCCACTTTACACCTCTACTGCATAATCTTATCCATTCCCCCTACTTTATAGTAGGAAGGAGGAAGCAAAAATGACGTCTTTCTTATCCTACGCACCTTTTTCCTCAAAATGAAGAAAACAATATAAATTACAAAAAAAAGAACAAAGAAATACACAAAAAAATTTACAAAAATTTAGAAA